ATTAAGCATGATCAGAATGTATGACCAAATGATTTTGGTGAACGGTTCTTGTTTGATGTACCTATGACGATCTTCCTGTGCCAGTCTCTCTTGTTCTTCGTAGCTTGATTTGCTCCGTCGTAGTTGTTCTTTCCATGGTGGTTTTGGGGTGCTGGAGAACATGGTCCCTTAGTCAGAGGATCAAAAAAGCGCAGAGACTCTGTTGAAGACAGAGTTTTGAACGGCAGTAGAAAATCAAGATGCGTGACGTTGCGCTCAAGCTAGGTACTTCCGTTCGGCGTTCACAAGACCGCAGCTCTGAAGCTTTAAGAAAGAATGGACAACCTTTGCGAAAGAGGACAGCTCTATATAGGCAAGTTAGGCGCTGCTATTCAATTGCGTCGATCCCTGTAAGGCAACCAACGTCTCGCTAGCCTGCTTCCAGTCTGACTCCTCATTAGCTAGCTGCTGAAAATGCTGCCCCGACACCGAGAGACGACGTAAATCAGGCTACCAATCGTTAATCACATCATGCCTAACGGCCATGTATCCTGAGACAACCGATGACCCCCGTACCTCCATGCTGTCTTACTAACGGCTTGGCTGCAGAAATTCTGCTCCAATGTAAAGAGCACAACGTCGTAAGAATGTGTGACTAGCCAAGCACGGGCACTGCAGGCGTAAAATGCAAGATGACAAAATGTTTGTTACGAAATGCAGTCATGCATATTGTACCTCAAGCAAGTATCTCATCTTCGATATGATTCACACGTAGAGCGACATGTAGATTCTGGAGAACAGTATTTCCGCTCGCGGACACATTCACTTAACATCTAGCTTCTTGCTCTACTTCGCTTTTCTTACATCTTGAATCTCTTATTGTATTACTTTCTCTGTTCGATAGGCCTACTTACGTGACTACTAGACGTCCTTTGCCCTAAGACAACAGGGACGCAACAGCGTAAAATAACACACACACACACACACACACACACAAACCATCCCAGCACACCTTGCCGACCGTAAGGTGGTTCATTTTGCGTGGGGTCTTATCTGTCCCAACACCCAGTTTGTGTCACCCAGTGTGGGGTACACCGTGTTTTGCTTTAGAACCCGAAAGCCACTGGTTGCTTCTTTACTCTACGTCAAGGTCAAAAAGGCAACTCGTGTGATCCTTCTAGGCTGCCTTATACACGATGTGAAACCAGAACCCTCTGATCAGGTTCTCCGATAGGATAGAACACATCAAGCCGGGCGGGAATCAATGGTTCCATTCTCCAAAACAAAAGGCCTGGTACCGATGTCCATGCCAATCACGAAGCTTACGAGGCCCCTTACGCTCGGTCGCCGTTCCAAGTCCTGTCTCACCGACTTCTGACCAATAATCAGTACACTGCTTGACAACATGAAGAATGTAAAATTCAACGCAATAAGTTCTTGGTCGGTGAATCAAGAAAGATCCACGGAGCGTGTGGTACTCGGAATGATATCTACAATGGAACGCGAATGCGTGTGACTAATCTGCGGTCTCTTCCCGCTGATCGAGCCGCGCCAAATTGTGACGCTCGGCAAGGATAAATGAATCCATCTATCGATTGACCCGTTCAAGGGAATGAAGGATTGGCAGCTCGTTTCACAGCTCGCGGAGATCAGAAAGACAGGCGTACCAGCGAAGGCAAGTCGCTTTGAACGAGCTATATGGCCAATATCAAGCGTTGATGAAAGGGTGGACTAAGTTGACTTCATCGACGATTGAGTAAGGTATCTGGCGAAGTCATAAGTCGTGTCTGCACAGTAAAATTGAAGGCAAGCTCCTTGCCAGGAAGATGACAGCGTCACAGCAGCTTGAACACTTATTTTTCGACCGTTTGTCTCGGGGGGAATCAAAATGAACAAAAAGCGCGCATCCCCTCGCAGATGATCAATCAACACCCGACCGAATGGTGTGTACTCAACTGCTGCGTTAGACACGTCACGCCGTGAATATGTGGTCGGTGCTACCGGAGAGCTTCTCGCGAAATACAGCGAATCTGGAAACTACTGGGTTTGCAACTGTAGAGAATACTTCCTGAGGACTAAACAGTAACTCGCTAATCAAGGTAAAAGAGTGTATGCAAGTTTATGGGCCTCTTGTTCTGACCTTCGTTACTAACTTATGTCTCCAATCAGACATTCCAATCGGACCATCATGCCCTGACTTAAGACATGTAAATAGCCTTCCTAGACCTGCGTGTGGATCAAGTAATCGCATTCAACGGCAGTCGCAACCCTCGGGTTTTGCATCTTCCAAGTGTCCGGTACCTTGCGCAACATCGGGGTGCGACACGTTCATACGTCCGAATTCATCTACTAGCGGTCCCTGTCATGTGGTTGTTTTATGTTCCGATCAAAACCTAACACCATTTTATGATCAATTATCCATTAGGCATGTTGTTGCAGTCTGTTTGTGAGTAGTTTCGATGACACCAGAGTTTGGAGAGGTCTGTTCCGCCATCACAATTAGATGCCGTGTCCTATTGGGTTGAGAATCTGGACCACTTTTCAAGATGTGATCCGTGTTCTTTAGCGAAGTGGGACATTCTATTTCTGTATTGTTGACCTGGTAGAATAGTCCGTTGATCGAGCTACTGCTAGCCGGGCTATTGCTGAAAGGGGGTTGGGTTTTAGATGTAAAGAGGTTGGTAGAGGTTAAAATGACACACAGAGAAATCAAAAGGCTGGGAGCAAGCAAACTGGAGACGGACTTATCGGGTCCGATAGGTTCGTCTTTTGTGGCTGTGGTGCCGAACTATCGGGCTCGGGCCTTGAAGAACGACTGTCCGACCATGGTGTGCTCTCGGTGCCCGCGCCCTCCGAACGGCCTCCCGCCCAGCCAACACTCCACTCCGGCGACCGAACCGACTTGGGACGATGGCCCACAGCATCAAAATGAGCAGACCAGCCCCTTATTCCAGTCTATGACTCTATGGTTTGGGCCAAGAGTGGCGCAAGAGCTCTAGCAGCTCCCCTGCGCCACGGATGAGGTCAAATTCTGTTCAGTGCACCGAAGCCCGATCTATGTGTCTTTTTATAGCATAAGGCTGAAAGGGGGTAGGATACGAGACTCAGCCCGAACGTTGCAACAGCCCTACGAGCCTCAAAAAATATGCTCGCCGAGCCTTCCCTTAGGGTATCATCACTTCTGTTAAAGGGAGATCGAAACATCTCCAACTGTTGAAGCTATCCAGCACACTTGCAGTCGAGGCAAGCAAATCACATTCGTTGAACGTTTCTAGTCTTCTTTCCGTCTCACAATAAAACTTTTCCAAATGTCCCCGCTCAAAGAGACCGGTTCTCCGGAGCTGACGGAACTGGACCCCCGCGGCGACGTCGTCTTCGTCGTAGGATCGGCGGCGGCTGAAGACACCCCTGCCCGCAGCTTCCGCGCCTGCTCCCGGACCATGGCCCGCGTATCCCCCGTCTTCGACCGCATGCTCAACGGCAAGTTTACCGAGGCCAAGCCGGCGGCGTCCGGTTCCGGCGATCCCGCAGCCGATTGGGTCGTACAGCTCCGCGACGACAAGCCCGATGCGTTCGCTCTCTTCGCCAGCATCGCCCACGCACAATACCGCTGTGTGCCAAGGAGCCTGACAATCGACAAGTTCTACGACCTGACGGTGCTGACGCACTACTATGACGCGACGCCCATGTTGACGCCGTGGTTGCAGGGCTGGATCTCTGGGATCGGAGAGGTTCCCGACGTCGGCTCTGAGGGGTTGCTGATGCCCAAATTGCTGTGGATCTCATGGGAGCTGGGGCATAAGCAGCTTTTTGAGAGCACCGCGAGGAGGATGGTCATGGAGTGCCAGGGGAGCATGATTGGAGAGGATGCAGGCCTGGAGGAGCTGAGCATGCCGCCAGAGATTATCGGTTCGTTTCCATTGCCCGCCAACGTCGACCTGTTACTAACTCTCGGCATCAGAACGCATCAACGCCATCCGCAGCCAGACAATACAGTCCATCATGGATGTCTTCCGCGATTTGTACGAGAAGCTCGTCACCGTCGACGAAGGCCCGCGGTGGTGCCTGCATGCATCTTACATGGGCCCGCACCGGTGTGAGAGCATGATTTTGGGCAGCATGACGTTCTGTCTGACTAGGGCTGGCCTTTGGCCGATCCCCGAAACATCAGATGTTGATGACAGCGTGGTGATGCTGTACTCGACACTGATGAACTTGGTTATCCATGATATTGGACGGCCGGGAGAGAAGGGGGGCGTTGACCACTCTGAGTGCAACCCCCGCGCATTCCTCATGGGACAAATTAAGGATATTTTGGCGGAGGTCCCGAGTCCAGTAACTGATGCGCACAAGAAGCACTTGGATAGACAAATACAGAAGCTTCTGGTTTGAGGACAGAAAAAAAAATAAACGGATTAAAGATGATGGACGCTGGCAAGTAAATATACGTCAATAGTCATCAATTTGGTAGAGGCGTCGTGGTGAACGCCCGGGAAAGAGACTAGGATCGCATCAGACCTTAGGTTGGAAAAAGAGGTTATGGGTTTATATTTCGATGAAGATTTTCTTATTTATTTTATACTAAGTACTTGGCAATAGAACAAATCTTTCTTGTTTTCTCATCATTTCTCTCTGAAGCAAGTGCCTGGAGACTTGAGCAATCGGCGACCGCAAGAGTAAACACGCCTGACAAACTCCAAGATACAGGGCCTTCAGGTGTACCTCAGATGTCAACCCCCTGAAAGCCGCATTATGCCAGGCCACCCAGATGTCTTACTAAGCAGCCCGTGCGGCTTCCCGAACTTCTCCGCCAGAGCCTGCTTTGCCGCTATCGCTGAAATCTTTAGATTCGCGATCAAAAGAATCCAAAGTGAATTGCCCAAGGACTACAGTATCCAGTTCATCGAGTCAAGCAGCGCCTCAAACATCGATGGCAGCTTACCAACCACTGAGCAGCTTCATTATCCACTCCGGCCATCGTTTTTGTTCATCGATGGCCCGCAATTCAGCTTCTTGTAAACATGTCGCGTTCCCGGAGCGGATGTTTGACGTGCAAACGACGCCATCGTAAGTGCGACGAAACTCGACCGGATTGTCTGCAATGTCTCGGCCAGGGAATTCAATGCGAGGGCTACAATGTCGTCTTACGCTGGGACACCGGCATCGCTTCACGCGGGCGGCTCACGGGAGCGCCGACACCTGCGGACGCGCCACCTGCCAAACGACGAAGGACGGCACCGCCATCGAGAAGCTCATCGGGAGAGTCACCCGGCGAAAAGCTGTCGGATGACAAGTTCGCAACTTCCCCAGGACGAGAACCAAGTCGAACGAAAGACGAGTTTCAACGGCTAATGGCATCGACTCTTTCGCCGAACCCCGAGCCGTCCGGTGCGCCTTCGAAGGTCTCGCAGCCGTCCCCGCAGTACTCCGAACCGTCTCAAGCCGGGTCCCCTTGGCCCGGTCAGACGGAACAGGACCGGATTCTTTACGAACAGTGTGAGTATTTACCATCGATGGTTTTGAATCATACATGAATGATTTACGTACGAAAGAAGGATCACGGACTGACAACCAATACCAGTCGACAACTCTACCATATTTCTGCTGTATTCCACCCATCGCGATGACCTCTTTCGACGAGATCTTTGTCAACTCGCAAATAGGTCGGAAGCCCTTTGCTCCATTCTTATAGCCACTCACCTATACGTGTCAAGCCCAGCCAACCCCTCGTCGCTGTTTGAAGAATACTATCTCCGCGGGCTTCACCTGTTCCGCAAGCAGCTAGAGTCCTATGATGGTACCGTCAACGTGGGGGTAATGTACGCGGGCCTTTTCATTTGCACCCTTAATGTGAGTGAACCCCACGTAACCTCGGGTATCTTCTCGTTTAGCTGCTGATAGTCTCAACCCATCAGCTTTTCCAAAGCGCACCATGGTCCGTTCATCTGGAGCTCATGACCACTGTCTATGGCCTGGGAGGTAGTCTGCACGGTTCTGCTATTCTGGACAACCCAGACGCCTGTTTCCCGTTGGAACTTATGGCAGTGATGGATATGCCGACCTTTGTCCGAGGACGTTCCACCATGACATTAGGCATCTGGCATAGATTACGCCAGGCCCAAGAGTCTCGTCACGAAAAGGTCGAAGGTGGGATAGAGGTAATCACTAGCCTCCCACGGTCACTCCTCGACATTTTTTCTTCCATCCAAGATGAGTCTTCGGAGGATGCACTGCTTTCATGGCCAGGAGAGCTCGGAGAAATACCACAGATCCACTTGTGGGAAGCCTATCGCTTCGCTGGAGCTCTCACTGGTCGGCGGTTGAGAAGGGGTCGAGGTCTCCCGCCGTCAGCTCCGTCAACGGAACTCCTGGTCGGTCGTCTTGTGGCAGCTATCGATGCCCTCTGTGACACACGGACGCGGCCCGATTACGACCACCTGCTTACGACAAACTCGCTGCTCTATCCGTATGTTGCGGCACGGTTGGAGGTTGCCACCTTGCAACGGCGACCTTCCTGGATGGATGTGCTGCGCCGTGCTGTCGACATTTGCCAACCTTACGGCAGAAGCGCGAATGTGTGCAATATTGCAGATATGTTGGATGAGGCGTGGAAAGCTGGTGATGATGATTACGACATCGACAAGCATGCCAGGCGGAGGAACGTGGAGATAGCTCTCTTTTGAGTGATGGTGTCTGGAGCTACGGACTAGACGGGGTTCGAGTTGTCCAGCGACGTGCACTAGCAATGTGCCGTGTCAGAATATCCCAGCCTATCACTCTATCGACATCAATATTCACAAACAAGTAAATCAAGATGAAGAGATATCATTCGTCCAGTCTGAGCGATATCATTCAACATTTTACTTTGAGGCCTGACAGGGGTCGGCGGATAAGCCAAACCACTTTAGGTAGGTCTAAGAGCCAATCATGTTTCGGCCCCTAATCGCTCCAGGTGTGCTTCGCTTCCGCCTGTTACCCCGGATTCAAGTTTAAGTGGAGTTTATCCTTATCAGACGGGAGCTATGCTTGGGCGATGATGTGGTGGTCTTAAAGGGGAAGACAATAGTATGGTCCAAATCTTATAAGAAGGCGCGATCCCGGGACCTAGGTACCCTCAATCAAGAGGCTAATTATCTTTTGGTTGCCCGGACTAAAGTTGTCGTCAACAACATCACAAGTGCTCATAGGTCCCTCGATATTTATAACTATGGAGATACTTGAGGAAGACACTTACCTACCCCCTGGTAGTGCCAGACTTTTGTCGGGTAGGTTGCTGCCCTGAAGGCGCCCCGAGCGTGCGATGTTGACCTTGGCTTTTGCAGAAGAAGAATCCGTCTTAGTGTTGATTCCTGAGCCTACTGCGGACCCTAATGACCCCTTGGTGAGTTGCTACGTCCGCATCCCGGAAGCCTTTGACTTACTCGTCTGAAAAATTGGCCCTTATTAGAACTGGACCTTGGCTCGCAAATATGTCAACACACTCTTCGTTCTTGCTGTCACCGTGGCAGTCTTCGCAGCGTGAGCACCCTTCTAATCCTAGCATCTCAACTTTGACGGCTCTGAAATTCGATTGAATGACATTTCGTTGCCAGCATGACCATGCAGATGGTGTTTTGGCAGCAAATGACGGTCGAGCTGGACATGACCTATGACGAACTTAACGCCGGCGTCTCCTTCAACGTTGTCGGGCTGGCCATGGGATGCTTTTGCATCATTCCCTTCACGAAGAAGTACGGTCGACGATCCACCTACATATTTTCGACCGCCGTCATGGCTGCAACTTCCTGGTGGAGCAGCCGCATGCGTACCGTTCCCGAGATGTATCTCACGAACTTGCTTTTCGGCTTGGCCGGGTCCACGAACGAGACCATAGCTGAGATAACCGTACGTTCCACACATTACATACCTTAGACACCTGGGACGGATCATTAACAATATTGAGTTTTGGCAGATTGCGGACCTCTTCTTCGTCCACCAGCGTGGCCTGGCGAACGGCTTCTACATTACCAGCGTCATGATCGGGAACTTCCTGGCCCCCACACTCGCGGGTGTCCAGGCAGCCTCCATGGGCTGGCGATGGGCATACTACACTGTCGGCATCATCCTCACAATCTTGTTTCTCTTATTTATTTTCTTCTTCGAAGAGACGAAATACGTACCCGTTTCCGTTGGGGTTTCGACCGCCGGAGACCCAGACTTGCAGGAAACACAGAACAAGCTGCGAAAAACCAAGAGCAACGGCACGGCATCGCACCCCGCCAACAACAGACAACTCCCCGAGAAGTATAAAGATCAGGATATAGAGCAAATCGGTCCCCAGATTCCGTTGCCCAACACGTACCGACAACGAATGCGTTTCTCCACGCCCACAGAGGAGTCGTTACTCTCCAGCTGTGTAGCCCCTTTCAAGATGGCTCTCTTCCCGCACGTTGTCTTCTCAGCCATTCAATGCGCCAACGCCGTGGCCTTCTTGGTCCTCTTGACGAGCATTAACTCCATCGTATTCGCTGCCGCGCCGTACAACTTCAGCACAGCGGGAGTCGGCCTCATGCTCATAGGCCCTTTCATTGGTAACATGATCGGCAGTGTACATGGTGGGATCTTTGGAGACTGGATCGTCGTCAGACTTGCACGGAAGAATCGTGGCATCTTCGAGCCGGAGATGAGACTGTATGTCCTTTTCATACCGGCACTCCTCATGGGAATCGGTGTTGTTATCTTTGGGATCACAGCGGACAGAGTAAGTCATCATTCTACATGAGGGTAGGCTCTAAAGTCTCATGGCTAACAAACGTGCCTCAGGGGATGCACTGGGTGTACCCAAGTATTGGAGGTGCCCTTTTCGCATTTGGCATGAGCTCTATGATGGATGTCAGTTTTACCATTGTGATTGACACTTATAAAGCCGTAAGTACTGAGCTCTTGAAAACAAATGTGTCGCTTCAGTACTGACATAGTTTCCTTCTATTATAGACCACAGCAGAGTCCTTCGTGTTCATCACATTCATCCGCAACGCAGCGACTATTGGAGTACCGTTTGGAGTGGTACCGTGGCTCAACTCCATGAGCCTTACAAACATTTCAATCATTTGCGGATGCGTGGCCACCTCTATCTGCTTCTTGTTCATTCCATTACTGATCTGGGGGCGGGATATTCGAGTCGCGTTGCATGCCAGATATGACAAACTCGTGGCGGAAACCGAGAGTGTTGGAGTATCAGAGAGGACTTGATAGATCGGCAATATGTTGCCTGCATACTTAGATACTAGTTTGAATTTATCGTGTCTTCTGAGAACAGCCTACACACTGTGTTTCCTTTCAATTACTCGCAATCCAACTTAACTTCCATACTCGATTGGCCGCCGGAATTGAGCTTTTCGCCTTCATGCAATATAAGACCGTTTGCTACAAAAACTGGCTATAACGTAGTAATGAACAATTCACATGCATTCACGTCGACGTATTCGCTTCAAACAGTACACCTAAGGACAGTCATGGATCATTCTCCATCTCCTCGAGGTCGAGGAAGCCGATCACGGAGCCCACTCCTTCTCGGCTCTTACATATACACATCTTCTAATTGTAAGGTATCAGCTCTTATCATGCGGGAGCGAGAACATTTCCAAGGATTTGCTGTTGCCTTTGAAACCCCTTGTTCAGTACACATCTTCCCGCTTGAGAGGGTCCTCCTGTCCGAAAATGGCAAGTCTAAGAGCCAATCAGAACACCACCCAGACACCGATCGGACTGTGCGTCCTATTGTGTTGTTCATGCTGCGGAGCCCTGAGACACAGGCATTTAAGAGGTCGACTCGGTAACCTCATGATGTAAAATCATCTTTACACACGCATCTTCCCCTCACTTCAAGCGCCAAGATCATCAGCCGCACTACAACCTCGAGGATGCCTATCACCAAAGTCGACGTGACGCCTGCGCACGAGCAGAAGCAACTGGACGCCATGTCATGGCAGGAGCTGGTTGATAAAAAGAAGCAACAGCTTACTGATGCTATTCCAGCAAAGTGGAAGCTTGACGTCTCCTTAATCAAAGAACTGACAGAGGCAAATGGAGGTCGACTTCTTGAACTCGATCCTGCAAGAAGATCAGGGGTTCTAGACGATGTTGAGATCGACATCACTGAGAATTACTCTGCCGTGGAGCTCGTCAAAAAGATGACACTTGGCCGTCTAACGGCAACTCAAGTGGTGACGGCCTTCTGCAAAAGAGCCGCTGTTGCTCAGCAGCTTGTGAGTCCTTCCAATTTTGAGCCCGAGACACATTTCATGCACCTCGAGACGCAACTGACTGAAGTCGCAGACATCGTGTCTCACGGAGTCGTTCTATGATGAGGCCATCGCGCGAGCCAAGTTTCTAGATGATTATTACCGCGAAAATGGGAAGACTATCGGCTCACTTCACGGCCTACCGATCAGTCTAAAAGTACGCCTCCCCTGTTCAGTGTTCAGACTTGCTGATCCCTTCAGCTGACCGCTTAACCAGGACACCTTCAAAGTAGTGGGTTTCGACGCAACGGCGGGCTACGTCAACGGCCTGAAGTTGGGGCCCGCAACCACGAACTCGTGTTTGGTCAGCGTCTTGCTTGATGCAGGTGCGGTTCTCTATGTCAAGACGAACGTACCGCAGACTCTCATGGTTAGACATCCCTGAAGCACAGCCATCATCCTGCTAATCCGTTGTGAAGACCGCAGACTCGGAAAACCATATCTATGGCCGCACATTGAACCCTCACAATCTCAATCTCAACGCTGGCGGGTCGAGCGGAGGCGAAGGCGCTTTGGTAGCTTTTGGGGGATCACCGATCGGAGTTGGCACTGACATCGCCGGTTCCATTAGAATCCCGGCCATGTGCTGTGGAACCTACGGGTTCAAACCGACGAACCATCGGGTGCCCTATGGAAACCAGTCTGAAGGGCTTATCTTGAATCTTCCTGGTCCATTCCCGTCTGCTGGTCCAATTGCTAGCACCATGGAAGATCTCCAACTATTCATGAGTGCGGTCATCAATCAGCGCCCGGGAGCATACGATACCACCGCTCTTGATCTGCCTTGGCGAAAGCCAGCAGTCGGACAGAGCCTGCGACTCGGGGTGTTGGAAGAAGATCCTGCCTGGCCACTGCATCCGCCGGTTCGTCGAGCCTTCGAAGATGCCATCAACGCATTATCAGTGGCTGGTCACGAAGTCGTGCGGCTCCCGTATGACTACGAGCGTAGCGTTGACCTTGGGCTCAGGCTCTCGTACCAGTTCTTCGAACTGGCGCATCCTCCAGATGAAGACCTTGCAGCCGTCCTTGGTGAGCCATTGGTCAAGGCTGCTGAGGCGAGAATGCACCCATTTACAGCCAAGCCACGGCCTGTACCTAAGGACTTGGCAAAGCCGTGGCATCATCTGGATGACCTGGATGCCGCGCGCGCCAAGTTCGCCGAGACGTGGCACCGTACGTGGTTCGATCGCAAGCTGGATGCCATTGTGGCACCAGGGGCTGACAAGACCGCCGTGCCCCATGACACGTACGGTCTGATGCCATACACAGTGGTGTTCAATCTTCTTGACGTAAGTTGCGCCAGTCTCTCGCAATGAGCTCTGTTGGCTGATGAATTGGACAAGTACCCTTCCTGTCTGATACCTACTGGGCACGCATCAAAGACTTTAGATCCGGAACCT